CTCTCTCTCTCTCTCTCTCTCTCTCTCTCTCTCTCTCTCTCTCTCTCACCAGCAGCTGGTTCCTACAGTGGTTATGATCACGTGGAGTGTGATGCGAAGGAGGGAGGGTGGTGCTCCTCCAGTAATAATTGGAATAACTTACTGGTGGAGGCAAAAGAGAGGGAGAGAATGAGAGAGATAGGGTAAGAAAAAAGAAGAAGGAAAAAAGCAACAGAAAAAAGTCAGAGTGCTCCAGGTGTAACCCTATCAGTTGGTGGGGCCTACACCATGGATAGGACTAAAAGGGCGAGGATGCACTGCCTTTATAATTGACCGGGAGCATTTTTTTTAAAGTCTGCGGGAATCAATTCGTCCAGCCTGGCTTCGGATAATTGCTCCGCTTTGAAACGACAGGGACGCCATTCCTGGGTCTCTGCCTCCAGGCAATCCAGAGAGACCTCAATATTATTCATATTTCGGACATAACCTACTGCTTTCACGCGGGGCAGGATGTGGCTAGTAATTGACACGCTTTCGGCCATGAAAGCCCTACAAAGTGTGCAGCATCTGCGCGAGCTAAAAAAAAGGGGCCAAGACCAACACAAGGTTGAGAACACTCACCCTCTTTGAACCAAGGAAATTGGAAGCCATGCGCATGGAAAAGCCCTATAGGAAAAACAAAGGGGCTGCTGTTGGTGCCTGTCACGACTATTAAGATACTTGACCTCATGATTATAAGGAGGCAGCGCTGCAGCTGCCTGTAAACAAATAAGCCTTTTTTATTGCCTTTCACTGAATTAAAGCTCATTACTTGGGGATATCCACCGTTTGTCTCCGCCAAGGGGGTTCGTGACACACGTGTTCCATCAGCTGCAGCAACAGCAACAAGATGCATGTCATCACACACACCTGCACGCTAGAGGTTTCTGTGGCATCACAATGAAGAAAACAATATGGATTTGTTCTCTCACACACACACACACACACACACACGCAGGGAGGTGGATGGGACCCAGAGGTGCACTAGGACACATCTGGGATGTTGGTAATAATGACCACTACATCTGAGGCTCAGGCAGAACAGCAGGGGGAGCATTGAAAGTCAAAAGTCTGGGATGCATATTTTATCATTTTCAGAATTAGATCATTTATGTCATATAATTTATATAGTTTATATTTGATGATCAGTGTGTTTTCTTGCCAGACGGCAAAACTGTCGCTGAGGACAGCGAGCCGACTGAGGAGCTCCGCGGCTCGACACGTCCCGTGTTTGCACGAGCCGTCCCTCCGAAAGGAAGTGGGAAGCGCTTCTCCGAAAAAACACGGCGCTTCCATATCCAGTGTGAACCTGGCAATACAGGAGGTGAGACTAAATTTGGCTATGGAACGCCCGGTAAATGCTGATGTTGCTTATGAGTGCACGGGATGTTTAAACCTGCATTGACTGATTTTTCATTTTTGTCCACTTGGGGGCAGCGGATGCAAGCTGTAAACACAACACTGACATATTAGCGCCTTTTCTACGTCGGTATTGCAAACTCATGACTGGCTTTTTTACTCATCCAGCAGATACGCACATTCATTCATGAGTCATGTTTGTGGATAGCTGATGAATGCGAGTCTCTACCAACTCCTGAGATAAAATATCTCGCAGAAAGTTTAACTTGTTAGATCTGTTTTCCACTAGCCGCCAACTTAGACATCTCAGAGCGGTGCTCTCTGGCTGTATGGGTTGTAGCTGCCGCGGCAGTGGGTCTATCAAATGTCGCATTAAACTTGAAGAACACATGCGTTGATGGGCTGCCAGTGTTGTAAGTGGGCATTGTGCTAAGATTTAAATTAATCAACATCAAAAATATAAATGTAGTGGGTACAAATACTGGCGGGTGAGCTGCAGGCCAGATGTTAGAGCAGACAGGCCATTTATCAAAGAGTTGGTGGTTTAATCACCAGCTTCCTTAAGAAAGACACTGAACCCAAAACTTCTCCCAGTGTTCATGTATGTGGGAGTAAAAACAAAAGCATCTACCAGACGAATGTAATGTTTAAATTGATCCCAAAACAAAGACGTGTACAGTCTTTGTCTGTAAATTTGTCAGGCAAAAGTTGAGTATGTATAGCATCAGCCTGAGGAAAAGAGAAGGCTAACTTGCAGAATAGCGGCATGGCAGCCCAAAGCTGCCTTTGTACCAGTGCTAATTTGGAATTCAAAGCAAGACTTCTCTTTTTGCTTCCAGCAGTCTTCATTTGTCCACTGAAGCATTTGGGCATACTGTAAAGTTGCTGCTTTCGAGGCAACCTTGTGTATAATCTGCTGTGTGAAATAGGAGTACAATAGGAGAAACAGGAGTTCAATACGAGTTTTACTGTCATGACATTTGAGAAACTGTTTAAACCATTTTTTTGTTGGCAGTGGAGTACTTCGTATTAAGTGTGTGCTTTTCTTTCAGTAGCACAGCTGTGGAGAAGAAGCTTTAGTCCTTGCTTCCATCAGTGACACCTGTAACACATTTGCTAAACTTACTTTCACTGTGAGTCCTGGCAGAAGGAGAAAAAAAGCTACTTGCCAGCGTTCTGTTTTTTGGAGCAATCACCAACAGGACCAGACGGGCCATTTTGGACCAGTTTTCCTGGTGGGCAGTTTCAACCGTTTTGGCCGATGCAACACATTGCAAAACAAAAGACAGAAAAATCTCAACTCCTTGGGACTGTCACACTGTCGACTAGCCCGGACTGGTTGTGGGGCGGAGAAAGCTATCCCGTGGACATTGGTCAGTGATCTGACTCTTTAAGCATATGGTCATAACTCAAGCTGCTTTTAATACAGTCTATTGACCACAAAGACATGTTCGTGAATGTTGGTGGGTCTGAGTCAAAGGCCCAGGAGAATCTTTTATTCCATCCTGTTTAGCTTGAGTATGTGCATAGGCCAGTTGCCACCACTGTGATTTGTAGCAGGGAATGCTGACTTAAGAAGTTGAATGGGTTTTCTTTTTGGGGTTTTTCTTTTACTGGCATGGGATGCAAACAAAGCAGGAGTTTAGTGCTAATAGGCTCGGCTGTACGGACGAGTCAAAAAAGCCAAAAGGAATCTTTGAAGATGTTCTAGGGTGACTCAAAAGATTTGGACCACTGTGCAACCCTTTCTTCTACACAATTACATTCCCGTACAACTAAACTGTATTCACACTTACGTTTCGAGGGCAACACATTTTCATCCTGGATTACAATTTAAACATAAAAAAAGGAGAGACAGCGAGATCCTTCTTGTGGCACTGGCACCTCTTTGGCACTCTGCGGCACTCAGCGGCACTCGCTGTGGCAGGCGAGCGGTACTAGTTTGGCACCCGTCAAGAAGCGGCGGAGCTGAGGGGGCGGAGCCACATTTCCTGAGACATTTCCTGAGAACACACATTGTTGTTAGTACGTTGTACTTTTTTGTTTCTCATTCATTTTATTTAAGTATGATTTTGCTGGTTTTGCAACAAAAGGGAACATAATACACTCTTTCCAAATTATTACTTTTACAGTCATTTACAACAATCTGCTAAAATAATGAAAATAAATCATCCGTTTTATTATCATTTAAAAGTATATATATAAAAAATTTAAAATTAAAACCCATAAAATGTCCAATCCAAAAATATATGTCTGAAAATATCTTCACTCTTCCTCTGCTTATATGTATATGTATGTCAGTAGGTGCCACAAGCTGCCAGAGGGTGCCTCAGGGTGCCAGAGGGTGTGCCAGAGAGTGCCGCAAGGTGCCAGAGAGTGCCACAGGGTGCCAGAGAGTGCCGCAGGGTGCCAGAGGGTGCCCCCCTGGTCCGTGTATGTTTTGATAGTCTGTTTTATGGTTTATTTGTTTTTTCTTTTGAAGAGCAACGCAAAGTAAAACAGGTAGTCCGGAAGTAAGAATATGTCAAAATAAAAGTGAAGGTAATAGAATGACCGTCTGCAAGAAAATGGTAACCAGGGTAACACTAGAAGAAAAATAAATAAATATGAATAAATAAACGTGGGCTGATGGGAGTATGTTAACAATAGTTGACTACATGCGATTTAATATTAATTTATCCATGTACACAGCAAGAATCAAGTTTTCGATTAATCTGTGGATTGTTTGATGCAATACAGTTTGTAATATAGTTTAATCAAAGTCATTTTTGTGTGTGCAGAGTTGTTGCTATTTATTCTTCCACCGTATTGTGCTGCTGTTTGAGTGAACGCAGAGCATAGCCTGCAAAAGGAGACGCAGATTAAGAGTTTACCATTTATACCACTAGATGGCAGTATACGTGTATTTAAACCATAGATTTGTTATATTTACCTGCGTCTTTGTTAATTGTGTTATTGATACAGATGTATTTAATGCAGGTTTTTTTATCTGATATTTGATGTTGATGGTTAATTTGCAACCTAGTTGTATACATCATGTATTTACTTGTTATTTTTATGTAATAGAAAAGTGAGCATGTGTAGTTCATTAAGCAATAAATAATGACAATTGAAAAATAAAGAGATGTTTGGTTCATTCTTTTCAAACACTAAGCCTAATTTACCTACTTCATTGATTTAATTGTCACACTTAAATCCTGAATTGACTGGTGAAACAGAATAAGTTAAAAGACCAAGATGAGAAGATATAATGTTGGTCAAATACTGTGGTCCAAATAAAATTACTTCAGTTTTATTGCCATTGAGATATAGAAAGTTTGACTCTAGAATATTCAAAAAATTCCTAATCCCTCTGACTGCTGGTGGCACCCTCTGGCACTCTCTGGCACCCTGCAGCACTCTCTGGCACTCTCTGGCACCCTGTGGCACTCTCTGGCACTCTCTGGCACCCCGCGGCACCCCCTGGCACCCTCTGGCAGCTTGTGGCACCTACTGACATACATATACATATAAGCAGAGGAAGAGTGAAGATATTTTC